GTGGATTTATCTCTGGGCTTTCTATTCTGTTCCATTGATCTATATTTCTGTCTTTGTGCCAGTACCATACTGTCTTGATGACTGTGGCTTTGTAGTAGAGCCTGAGGTCAGACAGGTTGATTCCTCCAGTTCCATTCTTCTTTCTCAAGATTGCTTTGGCTATTCGAGGTTTTTTGTATTTCCATACAATTTTTTGTGGCTGTACTATTTTGTATTCCCAGCAGCTCCAGTTTCTCCACTTATTAGTGTCTGCTTTATTATAATAATAATGATTATTATTATTATAATCTGTCTAGCGGGTGTTGTAGTGGCATCTCACTGAAGATTTCATTTGCATTTTCCTAATGACAAATGATATTCAGCAAAGTTTTATGTGATTTTTTTGACCATTCATGTATATTTTTTTGAGAAACATCTATTAAGAATCTTGTCCATTGAAAAAATTTGAGTTACTTGTCTTTTATTATTGAGTTGTAAGAGTGCTTTAAATTTTTTAATGTAAGCTCTTTATCAAACATATTTGCAGAAAGAATTAATGAGAATGAGAAAAGTGCTGAGAAGTATGTCTCACACTAGAACACTGTGCTGGTGGCAGTGTGAACAGTTAAGAATAATTAATACATTTATTTCAGTGATACCTGTTAATGCAATTATTAACTACAATGCTTATAGCACAGTTTTGTGATAAGAATTCAATGAGGCAGAAATGGAAAGGGGGAAGAAAAGGATAGAATTTGATGACCATTGAAAAGGGAGTGGTTGAATTGAGTTTTGGACGCCAATTCCCAGAGCACTGAGAGAGCACAGATGAGTCAGGCCATCATTTTCCCCATTAAATGTGCTGGGTCTGCACCAACATGTGAAAGATTTGATATTCTAGTTCCACACTGATCTGGGATCCAGAAGATTGGTCTTCAAAGTAAAACCTAATCCAGCAACAACAACATTTGGGAATTGATTAGAAAGGCAAATTTTAAGTCCCATGCCCAATCTTCTGAATCTCATATTCTGAGTGTGATGCCAGCAATATGGGTTTGGACAGATGCTCCTGTGGATTTTCATGCAAGAAACAGTTTGAAAAATTCTGCTCTAAAGCCTATGCTTAATATGCTTGTGGTTTGTACGTGTGTGTATGTTATTTCATTTTTGGGCTTTCCAGGTGGCTCAGCTGGTAAGGAATCTGCCTGCAATGCAGGAGACCTGGCTTCGATCCCTGTGTTGGGAAGATCTTCTGGAGAAGGGAAAGGCTACTCACTCCAGTATCCTGGCCTGAAGAATGCCATAGACTTTATAGTCCAAGGAATTACAGAGAGTTGGACAGGACTGAGCGATTTTCACTTCACTATTTTATTTTTAAAATTTTTACTGGGGTATAGTTGATTTATAATTTTGTGTTAGTTTCAGGAGGTGTACAGCAAAGTTAATTAGTTATACGTATATTCACTCTTTTTAAAAATATTTATTTACTTATTTATTTTTGGCTGCACCAGGCCTTAGTTACAGCATGCAAGCTTTAGTTGTGTGGTGAGGGTTGCAGGGTGTGAGGGCTCAGTAATTGTGGGGCATGGGCTCAGTAGTTGTGTCTTGGGGGCTTAGTTACCCAGGGGCATGTGAGATCTTAGCTCCCCAACAAGGGTTTGAACTCGTGTCCCATGCTTTGGAAGGTGGATTCTTCACCACTGGACCATCAAGGGGAGTCCCTATCCACTCCTTTTTTAAAAATTCTTTCCCCATATAGTCATTACAGAGTACTGAGTAGAGTTCCTTATGTTATAAAATAGATCCTGATTAGTTATCTATTTTATATATAAATAGATGTTATTTATGTATCTATAAAATAGTTTGTATATAGTAATGTGTATATTCCTGGAGAAGGAAATGGCAACCTGCTCCAGTATTCTTGCCTGGAGAACCTCATGGACAGAGGAGCCTAGAGGGCTCATGGGGTCACAAAGAGTCAGACATGACTTACCACTGAACAACTGTGTGTATATGTCAGTCCCAATCCTCCAATTTACCCCTCCATCCCCTTTCCCTATGCTTGGTGTGTTATCTCTGCTTGCTGGTTGGAAGCTTTGGAGGATTCCCAAGGAATAAGCTATACATTGTTCCCTATTTTATTTCTATTAGTTGGTACAATGTGGGAAAGAATAAATTAGTTTAGAGTGAGTACAGAGGACAGAAAGAAAAGAGGTTGAGAAAGTAAGACTAAAAGAGGGGCAGAAGGTAAAGAAAAAGATGAAAAATATTTTCAGTTCAATTTACAAAGTAGATGTTACAGTGTTCTAAAATAATGGGTTCTTGTACATCTATTACGTGTCCTATCACTTGTATTTGTTCTTTTTAGAAAAATTTTTAATTTAAATTGGAGTATAGCTGATTAACAATGTTGTGTTAGTTTCAGGTGAATAGTGAAGATGCTCAGCTGTACATATGCATGTATCCATTTTTCCCCCAAACTCCCCTCCCTTCCAGGCTGCCACATAACATTGAGCAGAGTTCCTTGTGCATACAGTAAGCCCTTGTTGGTTATCCATTTTAAATATAGCAGTGTGTACCTGTCCATCCCAAAGTCCTTAACTGTCCCTTCCCCCCGGCAATCATAAATTCATTCTCTAGGTCTATGAGTCTGTTTCTGTTTGCACATGTATTTTTTTTTTTTTCTCATCAGACTCAACCACAACATGGAAACCCAAAACCAAACAGATGTAGCAGAATTTCTCCTCCTTGGTCTCTCAGAAGATCCAGGACAGCAGCCCCTCCTCTTCGGTCTATTCCTGACCATGTACCTGGTCACTGTGCTTGGCAACCTGCTCATCATGCTGGCCATAGGCTCTGACTCCCACCTCCACACCCCCATGTACTTCTTCCTCTCCAGCCTGTCCTTCACGGACCTCTGTTTCAGCACCACCACAGTCCCCAAGATGCTTGTGAACATTGAAAGACAGAGCAAATCCATCAGTTACACAGGCTGCCTCACCCAGGTTTGTTTTGTCCTGTTATTTGCAGGCTTGGAAAACTTTCTCCTTGCAGCGATGGCCTATGACCGCTATGTGGCCATCTGCCATCCACTGAGGTACGTTGTCATCATGAACCCCTGCCTCTGTGGCCTGTTGATTGTACTCTCCCTGGTCATTAGCAGTGCAGATGCCCTGCTCCACACTCTGATGGTATTACGACTATCTTTCTGCACAGAGCTGGAAATCCCCCATTTCTTCTGTGAACTGGATCAGGTCATCAAGCTGGCATGTTCTGATACCCTCATCAATAACATCCTGGTATATTTAGTGACTAGCATATTGGGTGGTGTTCCTCTTCTTGGCATTATCTTCTCTTACACTCAAATTGTCTCCTCTATTCTGAGAATGCCCTCAGCTGGTGGGAAATATAAAGCCTTTTCCACCTGTGGATCTCATCTCTCTGTGGTTTCCTTATTTTATGGGACAGCTTTTGGAGTGTACATTAGTTCTGCACTTATACACTCCTCCAAAGAGACAGCAGTAGCCTCTTTAATGTACACGGTGGTCCCTCCAATGTTGAACCCCTTTATCTACAGCCTGAGGAACAGAGACATGAAGCAAGCCTTGTGGAAACTTATCTGAGGAACATCTCCTTTTTCTAGTTGTGTCACCTACCTCGTACTTGGGCTCCAGTGTGAGTCAGCAAACAAGAATAATAGGTTAGACCGAATGCCTGACTCTGACTTCACCAAAGTCTTATGTGCTGCAATGAAATTCCAAAATAACTAAAGCAGTTCAATTTAGGCTTGAAAACCAACTTTGCCCTTCTCTAATATTGAGATGTTTAAAATGTGTGTGAACTTTTTGATTATGATTTTTTGGTCAGGGTCTATCAAATTAAAACCTGAATTAAGCATTCTTTCTATAGTGATACTGAACGGAATGTTTTTAGGAGAATGGTTGGGATAGAAAGAGGACGCTAATTACAAAAAAATTGTAATTATGTGAAGGGATGGATATGATCATTACTCTGGCTGCAGTAGTAATTTCATTATGTTTATCTATCAAACTGCCATGTTAATTTCCATTGATTATCTGTTTTACATAGCCAGTGGAAATTAACATGACAATTTGATATATACACCTAATGAAATTATAACATTGATATATGGCAGAAATGAAACCAATATTGTAATGCAATTACCCTTCAATTAATTATTAGGATAATTTAAATTGTCATGTTAAACAACTCAGATGAATATATTTTAAAAATTTACTTATTTATTTTGGCTTCACTGGGTCTTCATTGCGGCCTATAGGCTTTCTCTGGTTGTTGAGCATGGAGTCAGTTACTCTACCACATGTGGGATCTTGGTTCTCCCAGCAAGAATTGAACCTGTGTCCCATGAACTAGAAGGCGGATTCTTAACCACTGGACCACCAGGGAAGTCCCAGTAGATATTTTTAAAAACAGGTGGAGAGAAAAATATAGTATCCTTTTAGCTTCTCAGGGTGAGACAATCAGTCAACATGAATTTGGGAAAAAAGAAGGAATTTATCAAATTAAGGTCTTTTTTGTTTGTTTCCTTTCCTATTCAAAAGCTTTTTAGTTTCTGGTAGCTCCCTTGTTTGTTTATTTGTTAAAGATTTTTTTTTTCTTTTGCTCTGCATCATTTTAAAAGTCTTTGTTGAATTTGTTACAATATTATTTCTGTTTTAAGTTTTGGTCGTCTGGCTGTGAGGCATGTGGGAGCTTAGCTCCCTGACCAGGGATTGAACCCAAATACCCTGCATTGGAAGGCAAAGTCTTAACCACTGGACCACCAGGGAAGTCCCAGTTTACTTTTTTATTTTTGTTCTGTAGCCTTTGCTTTTGGTGTCAAATCCAAATATTCATTGTCAAAACCAGTATCAAAGAGTTTACGCCCTGTGTTTTCTTCAGGAGTTTTACATTTCAGGTGGTAATTTAAAAAGTTTTAATCCAGCCTGAGTTGACTTTTGTGAGTGGTGTAAGAAAGGGGTCAAGTATTATTTTTTAATCCATATTACCTGAAAGAGTAAGTATTGACTTACTTATGGAGATAAATCAGCAGAGCCACTTGGCTCCAGCTTACCTATCCTTTAATGTTTCCAGTCTTTTGGTGAAACATGGAACATGAAAAGGTTTATCTTTCTGTGAGTCCCAGATGAATCTTTGCATATTTTACTCAATATTCATATGTTTGAAATTTACTGCTATTAAGATGATGAACAGTGATATTACAATGCCATCCTGTCATTAGTTTATTTTGTAAAGATTTTCTGATGTGGATGAATTTTAAAGTCTTTATTGAATTTATTACAATATTCCTTCTGCTTAATGCTTTGGGTTTTTGGCTGAAAAGCCTGTCAGATCTTAGCTCTCCAAACAGGGATTGAACCCACACCCCCTGCAGTGGAAAGTGAAGTCTTAACCACTGGACCACCAAGGAAGTCCTTTGCCATTAGTTTGTTTTCAGAAAATATATCTTGAAAAATATAAACTAAGAAAATTCATACTGAAAGCATTAAAATGTAAAGTAAATTGATGACCACCTGAAAATACTGACATTCTTAAAGACAATGTTTTTAAGTGAATATTAAAAACATGGATCATCATTTACCGCTTCAATTGTGGATGAAATCTCATGAAATCTACTAAATAATGGACAAAGCTAGTGCATGGGCATTGTCTTCTTATCATAACACAATTGAATATGAAGGACATAATTCAATCCAAAGTTCTTCAATGTGGAGAAAATGTATGTTGAATCTATTATGTAAAAATTGAAAAAGGTGATAATGAAAGTCTAAAAAGGGAGTAGGAAGTCTGTGCATATTGATCACAGTAATGATTGATCACAGAGGAAAATCAGATTCTGCTCTGAGAAATAAAGAAACAGAAAACATTCAACAGCTCTAGAGTTGCACCATAAAAAGGTTGAGGGTCAGAGAATTGATATTTCCGGATTGTGGTGCTGGAGAAGACTCTTTGAGTGTTCCTTGGATAGCAAGGAGTTCAACCCAGTCAATCCTATAGGAAATCAACCCTGAATATTCACTGGAAGGCCTGATGCTGAAGCTGAAGCTTCAATACTTTGATCACCTGTTTCGAAGAGCTGACTCATTGGAAAAGACTATCAAGTGTAGTAGCCCCTGCTCACTGTAACTAGAGAAAATCCACATGCAGCAAAGGAGACCTAGAGCCCCCAAAAATTAAGAAAAAAAAATTTTAAAAAGAGGAAAAGATTGTCATTAGCCTTAAGAAGAAAAAAGGAAATTGAGCAAAGTTCACTTGGATACTTCAAATGCTTTTGTAGTTGTGGGATTTTAGACAAGTTAATCTGTGCTAATTATTTAGCAGGGGCCTTAGCACCTGGTATAAAGAACTTGCTATTTAAGATGCTCACAACTGGATGAGAAAATGAGACCTTATATCTAGAATCTCTTACCTTCCCTACCACACACACAACAGTGTTTGAAATAAACACACGCACACTCTTTCCTGTTTAGCAGTCACATTTTTACTTGAAAGCTAATGAGAAAAGACAGCATACTATTTCAGACTTTAAATGAACAGTAGTAATTAATCCCCATGAATAGGTTATTAATTCTAGACCTATTTTTCCTTTCCTTTATTCTCTAGCTAGGTAGCCCAATGGGACCCATACCATCCTTCATTTCCAAGTTTTTATGACATGTGCTAAGTTGCCTCAGTTGTGCCCATCTCTTTGCAACCCTATGGACTATAGCCTGCCAGGCTCTACTGTCCATGGGATTCTCCAGGCAAGAATACTGGAGTGGGTTGTCATTTCCTTCTCTGATTTTATGACATATTTAGATATAATTAATACCTTGATACTCAGTAACTTGATCTGTTCTCTCTTACTTTTATGTTTTGACACATCTGTCTCAGTTGTATAATTAGCAGGTAATGTCAGGAAATTTGAAAATACTGAAAATCAATCATGATAGTCAGATCCTCTTCCTCTTTTTCTGTTGGGTCCCATTACAGACTGGGTGGCTTGGGTCCTGGCATCTGCAGGAGTCCCTAGTTTATGTGCCAGGATCAATTCAATGGCACTTTTACTTCCTGTGTTAAGATCTCTGAGAATATGCTTATTGATTGCCCAAAACAAGCAAGAGTTGATTCCTGAAATTCTGGTTGCTTTAATACATTTTTGCATTTTTCTTGAGAATCGATGGTTTTGAGAAAGTCTCCAAGGTGTGAACAGCTTATTAGTATACTGATGTTTAGAGCTGAATGGACTTAGGCATATTTTCTTCATTAATGGGAAGTTCTGCACCATGAACATGGAGTCAGCACAAATAACCATAACGACATCAATCTTCTGGGTTAAGACTTTGACTCAGACAGCCCTGAGCATAACTGTGTGGCAGCACTTGCTCTGTGAATAAATATGGCATGGTGAAGATCCTACATGCCACAACTGAGACCTGATGTAGCCAAATAAATGAGCAAGTACTTGTGGACACAGTAGGGGAAGAAGAGAGTGGGACAAATGGAGAAAGCATCATCAACATATATACACTACCATGTGTAGAATGGATAGCCAGTGAGAAGTTTCTATATAAAACGGAGCCTAGCGTGGTGCTCTGTGATTACCTAGAGATGACCGGGAAGGGAGGGAGGCTCCAGAGGGAGGGGACATATGTATAATTATGGCTGATTTGCACTGTTCTACAGCAGAAAACCAATACAACATTGTAAAGCAATTTCCCCCAATTGCATACCTATGGCTGATTCATGTTAATGTTTGGCAGAAGCCAACACAATTCTGTAAAAAGTTATCCTTCAATTAGAAGATAAATAAATATAAAAAAAGAAAAAATAACAAATTTTAAAATAAAATTAAAGAGGAATGAAATAATGCCATTTACAGCAACATGGATGGACCTAGAGACTGTCATTATTGTTGTTGCTGTTTAGTTACTAAGTTGTGTCCGACTCTTGGGACCCCATGGACTATCAGGCTCCCCTGTTCATGGGATTCTCCAGGCAAGAATACTGGAGAGGGTTGCCATGTCCTCCTCCAGTGGACCCTCCCAACCCAGGGATCCAACCCAGGTCTCCTGCATTGGCAGGTGGTTTCTTTACCACTGAGCCACCAGGAAAGCCCAGAGATTGTCATACTGAATGAAATAAGTCAGGCAAAGAATGACAGATACTGTATGGTATCACTGGTATGTAATATAAAAAATACAACAGACAAGTTAATATAACTAAAAAGAAGCAGACTCTCAGATATAGAGAACAAATTATTGGTTACTGGTTGGGAGGGAGGGGCAATAGAGAGGTGGGGGGAGTAGGTGGCACAAACTATTGTGTATAATATAGACTACAGGGATGCATTTTGCAACATGCAGATTATAGTCAGTATTTTATAACAATTGTAAATAGTGTATAACCTTCAAAAATTGTGTAAAAATTAAAAATCACTCATTTAAATTTTCTCATGCTATAGTTACCTTGAAAACCATACTATGTTTCTCTTTTGAGTTTTTATTATTTGTGTTGAAACGGTGGGATTATTTATCTTAATTGCTGTATACTTAGACCTGGCTTCAACCCCTGGGTTGGGACGATCCTCTGGGACCCACTCCAGGATTCTTGCCTGGAGAACTCTATGGACAGAGGAGACTGGTGGGATACAGCCCATGGGGTTGCAGAGAGTCAGACACGACTGAGCTACTAACACAAAAAAGACTGCCATGAGTCCATGCCAAGTGATCATTGACATTGATATTTTGGGGGGTGGTTCCTTTATTAACTTCTCTCTGCAAGCAAGATTCCCAGTGTGATTGTCAGCACATCTATTTTTCCTTGACATTCACAGCTGTTATGCACTTGATTGTCTTTTTCTCCTCTTTTTTCACCTAGCATAAAAATACTCAGGACTAACTGGTTTTTTGGATCTTCATTTCCTTATGAAGGCTCCTGTGTCACAGGAAACTTAAATAAATAGACAATATCACCAAGCACAATGCTTGACATCTGAGGCATCTTAATCACGCTGTAGTGATTTGTTTATGGCATAAACATGACTGGACAAAATAACACGGTTTATTATAGGAAGGATAGTGAGGGATGAAATAAGAAGAGGAGAGATATAAAGAACAATCCTGAGATGATAACTTCTAATTTCAGGGAAGAATTCGTGTTCTGAAATGACCACTATATCTTGCTTATGTATAGAAACAGAAAGAAGGAACCAATTTTAGTACATTTCATTCTGATTCACTAATGTCACCTCCCTACTCTATTCTCCAGTCTCACAGTATAACAGTTTATTTCTTCTAGAAGCAAGGGGCATTTGCACTGGGACACACACACACACACACACACACACACACACACACACACACCATCATCTAGGCCTGCTTCAGAATGTCCCCTGAAATTCCCTGCCCAGCACCTTTCTGAGTTGTGGCGGCTAAGTGCCACCTCCACGCTGCTAAGGATTCTTGTCTGTGGGCCTCTCCCCAGAGCAGTGCTCAGCGCTGGGCTGCAACAGAGAGGATGGGAGAGCACCCGGCCCTGCCCCCAGGTCTCAGAAGATGGGTGGCTCGGTTCCCCTTTCTGAACTAGCCTCCACCCAGCCCTAGGGGAAACGAAAGTGGCCAGACAGGACAACTCGGAAACCTGACTCACTGTGAGCTGGGGGAGGGAAGGGATGTGGAGAAAATCACATTTGGGTCCCCCCGACCAAATGCTCCATCTCTCATCCTGTAGCCCATCCCCCAACCCTCAAGCCCGCTGGCAGTCATCGTCCATTGTGTGATTCACAGCGTTGGAGAGCTTCATCCAATTTGTGTATGTAGCATCCCCACACCTCCCAAAGGTCTGGGTCCTAGAACAGACGGGCGACAGTCATAGCAGCGGGCCATTCTGGCTGCGAGAAGGTGGACTGAGGAAAGTTCTGTTGACAGAGGGCAAGGCAAGCTTCCCTGATGACCCTCACACATAGTCCAGGCTACAGTTGTGCCAGAGGTGGTGAACTGAGAGGCCAGGAAGGTCGATTTCTCTGCCCAGGGCAAGAAGGAAGTCAGGGCAAGTCCTGTTCTACAACACAAACTCTGACCTCTTAGCAGTAAGGTGCAGCCCCTTCTAGCAGCATAGGGCTGGGCTCGGGAGAGGGCTTCCCACCAAAAGCCTGGCCAGGGCCAAGAGAGGGTCTGCCCAGCATGCCACACAGGGAGCTTCAGCCACAGGTCTGCCTGCATCTAGGGGCATCGGGACCAGGCTCAGCATCAGCTCCCCAAGGAGGCTTCTTCCTGCCTGGAGATGGGTTTAGACCTGAGGCAAGCTATCCCAATGCCAGGAGTTCTGAATTTCAGTGCCTTAGCACTCCATCCCTACTTCGCTCCAGATAGAAGCAGGCTCCAGATAGAAGCAGTCACTCAGATTCCCAGGGGGTCCCAGAAGCACAGCCCTGAGAAAGTCCATCCTATACCCCTCCCCCACCAGGAAAGTGGCTCACGAGGAAAAGAATCTGCCTGCAATACTTTGTTCTAGAATACCAGGTTCTATTTCTGGGTGGGGAAGATCCCCTGGAGGAGGGNTGGAGTAGGAAATGGCCACCTGCTCCAGTATTCTTGTCTCGAGAACCCCATGGACAGAGGAGCTTGGCAGGCTACAGTCCATAGGGTTTCAAAGAGTCACACATGACTGAAGTTACTCAGCAAGCATGCACACACACATTATATTACTATATGATCCAGGAATCCCACTCCTAGGTATATATTTGGAGAAAAACATGGCTTATTCAGAAAATAAATTTTTGGTGGAGAATTAAGTATCTTCTTGTCAATAGATACTTTAAATAAGTAAATTAAATTGTCTAACCCAAAAGACAGAGATTGGGAAAAAGATAAAAGAAACCTGATGTGAATATGTGTGATTTATAAGAAACTCACTGTAGATCCACAAACACAAATAGATTGCAAATGGAAGAATAGAAAAACTTAGGTAAATAGTTACCAAAAGAGAGGTAATGTAGTAATAATGTAGACTTTAGGTCAAAACTGTTAAACTAGACAAAGAGGGATAGACAGAAATAGTTAGACATCCAGATATAGATAAAATGGCTAATAATCAAGATTAAAGAACAATTAGAGACATATATTCACCAAACAATAGTGCCTCAAAATATGTGAAGCAAACTTGAAAGAAGTGAAGTGAGAAATTCAAATTTCTACACTAACAATTACAGATTTTAATGCAAATTTTCAGCAAAGGATAGTAACTCTGGATAAACAAAAAATGACACAGAGGGCTTAAAAATCACTATAAACTAACAAAACCCAAGAGACATACAAACACTGTGCTGTGTGCTTAGTTGCTCAGTCATGTCCGACTCTTTGAAAACACATGGACTGTAGCCTTCCAGGCTCCTTTGTCCCTGGGGATTCTCCAGGCAAGAATACTGGAGTGGGATGCCATGCCCTTCTCCAGGGGATGTTCCCAACCCAGGGATTGAACCCAGGTCTCCCGCATCGCAGGCAGATTCTTTACTGTCTGAGACACCAAGGAAGCCCTATATAAACACTACACACAACAAAAGCAGAAGGAACAATCTTCTCCAGTGCACAGAGAACACTCTGTAGATAGTTCACATCTTAGGCCACAAAGCAAGTATCAATAAATTTGAAAATATTGAAATCATACAGTGTCATTTCTGACTACAGTGGTATGAATCTAGAAATTAGAGAATATGTGTGTATATGCTAAACTGCTTCAGTTGTATCTGACTCTTTGTGGCCCCATGGACTACAGCCCACCAGTCTCCTCTGTCCAAGGGATTCTCCAGGAAAGAATACTGGAGTGGGTTGCCATGGTCTTCTCCAGGGGATCTTCCTGACCCAGGGATTGAACCCTATCTCCTGCATTGAGGGCAGATTCTTTACTGTCTGAGCCACCAGGAAAGCCCTATATAAGAGAATAACAACTAGAAAACACACAAGTGTGTGGCAATTAAATAACATAGTCCTGAAAAGGCAGTGGTATCTTACTGATGAGTCTTTTCAAAGCTTCCTTCATGTCCCTGTTCCTCAAACTATAGATGAAGGGGTTCAGCATTTGAGGGACAACTGCATAAACCACTGAAGCCACTGCCGTCTGCCTGGAAGAATTGATAAGGGCAGAGCTAATGTACACCCCCAAGCCCGTGCCATAGAATAAGGACACAACAGAGAGGTGAGACCCACAGGTGGAAAAAGCTTTGTACTTTCCACCCGCTGATGGCATTCTCAAAACTGAGGAGACAATTTGAGTATAGGAGAATATGATTCCACACACAGGAACACCACCAAATATGCTAGCTGTCAAATATATTAGGATATTGTTGACGAGGGTATCAGAGCATGCAAGCTTGATGACCTGAACAACTTCACAGAAGAAGAGGGGGATTTCCAGGTCTGTGCAAAACGTCAGCTGCAACACCATCAGACTGTGGAGCAGGGCATCCACGATGCTAATAAACAAGGAGGATAGAATCAGCCAGCCACAAAGGCGAAAGTTCATGATGGCCATGTATCTCAGTGGGTGACAAATGGCTACGTATCGGTCATAGGCCATAATTGCAAGGAGAAAACTTTCCAAACTACCAAATACCAGCACAGAGCAGAGCTGGGTGAGGCAGCCTGTATAAGTGATGCTCTGATTCTGTGTTTGGATGTTCACCAGCATTTTTGGGATCGTGGTTGTGCTTAAACAAATGTCAGTAAAGGACAGGTTGTAGAGAAAGAAGTACATGGGGGTGTGGAGGTGAGAGTCAGAGGTGACAGCCAGGATGATGAGCAGGTTTCCCAGAGTGGTTACCAGGTAAATGGACAAGAACAGAATGAAATGGAGTGGCTGCAGTTCCAGATCCTTTGTCACTTCCATAAGAAGGAATTCTGAAACTCCTGTTTTGTTTCTGGGTCCCATGTTGTGGACAAATCTGGTAAGAAAGATGGAAACTGACAACACAATCAAATGTGGGTTTTATGCCAGCAGGAAGCAAAACATTATCATGGGATGAGATGGAGACAAACAGAAGAATAAGAAACGTGTCTTCTCTATGCATGTTATTCCGTTACTTTCTTAAAAAACTGAGGCTGATATAGCAGAATGTCATCCCTTGTTAATTCCCATCAGGGCTTAATGGATAGTCATTTTTTAATATTACACTATTCATACTGTATTTTAGAAGGAATTTTATTTCTACTTATTTTGGGCTGTGCTGGGTCTTCCTTGCTGCGTGGGCTTTTCTCTAGGTGCAGCTGCGGCAGGAGGGGTCTGCTCTCTAGCTGAGGTGCACAGGCTTCTCACTGTAGTGGCCCGTCTTGTTGCAGAGCATGGGCTATATGGTGTGCGGGCTCAGTAGTTGAGGCTCCAGGGCTCTGGGGCACAGGCTCGACGGTTGTGGCGCATGAGGCTCAGTAGCTCCACAGTGTGTGGGATCTTCCTGCATCAGGGATCAAACCCACGCCTCCTGAATAGGCAGAAAGATTCTTCACCATTGAAGCACCAGGAAAGCAACTATATTATTTATACTATACCATTTGGTAATTTTAGAAAGAGAAGCAGACTAAGGAGGCAGCTGAACATTGTGTCTTGACCCCCAGAGGCCCCAGAGCCAAGCAACTGAAATAATATGTAGGTGAGTGACTAAGCACACATGTCAAGAATCAGGAATGGGAAAATAAGGTGAACTTCACCAAACTTCCTGTCCACCCACTACCCACCACCACAAGATTGAAAGTGAATGTCAGACAATTTTATAAGAGTCATCCTGTTTTAAGAGATGTAGATTTCAAATATAGCAATGTGTACATATCAATCCCAAACTGGGATTCTTCCTTCCATTCTTCCCTACTGGCAACCAGAAGTTCGTTCTCTAAGTCTGTGAGTCTATTTCTGTTTTGTAAATAACCAACAACATCCTTTTCATACTGTTCATGGGGTTCTCAAGGCAAGAATGCTGAAGTGGTTTGCCATTCCCTTCTCCACAGGACCACGTTTTGTCAGAACTCTCCACCACAACCTATCCGAAGATATTAAGAAGAGTTGGTAAGAATACACAGAAGAGCTATGCAAAAAAAATCTTAATTACCAAGACAACCTCGATGGCGTGATCACTCACCTAGAGCCAGCCATCCTGGAGTGTGAAGTCAAGTGGGCCTTAGGAAACATCACTATGAACAAAGATAGTGGAGGTGATAGAATTCCAGCTGAACTATTTCAAATCCTAAAAGATGATGCTGTTAAAGTGCTGCACTCAATATGCCAGCAAATTTGGAAAACTCAGCAGTGGCCACAAGACTGGAAAAGGTCAGTTTTCATTCCAATCCCAAAGAAGGACATTGCTAAAGAATGTTCAAACTACTGCAAGAACTTCCAGGTGTTGAAACTGGATTTAGAAAAGGCAGAGGAACCAGAGATCAAATTGCCAACATCTATTGTATCATAGAAAAAGCAAGAGAATTCCAGAAAAGCATCTACTTCTGCTCCATTGACTATGCTAAAGCCTCTGACTGTGTGGAACACAGCAAACTGTGGAAAATTCTTAGAGATGGGAATACCAGACCCCTTTATGTGCCTCCTGTGAAACCTGTATAAAGGTCAAGAAGCAGCACTTAGAATTGGACATTAAACAACAGACTGTTTCCAAATTGGTAAAGGAGTATATCAAGGCTGTATATCATTACCCTACTTATTTAACTTATATGCAGAGTACTTCAAGTGAAATGCCAGGCTGGATAAAGCACAGGCTGAAATCAAGATTGCCAGGAGTGATATCAATAACCTCAGATATGCAGATGACACCACCTTTATGGCAGAAAGCAAAGAGGAACTAAAGAGCCTCTTGATGAAAGTCAAAGAGGAGAGCGAAAAACCTGGCTTAAAACTCAACATTCAAAAAACTAAGATCATGGCATCCAGTCCCATCACTTCATGGCAAATAGATACAGAAACAATGAGAACAGTGAGAAACTTTATTTTTGGGGGCTCCAAAATCACTGCAGATGGTGACTGCAGCCATGAAATTAAAGGACACGCTCCTTGGAAGAAAAGCTATGACAAACCTAGACAGCATATTAAAAAGCAGAGACATTACTTTACCGACAAAGGTCCATCTAGTCAAAGCTATGGTTTTTCAAGTAGTCATGTGTGGATGTGAGAGCTGGATTATAAAGAAAGCTGAGCGCCGAAGAATTGATGCTTTTAAACTATGGTGTTGAAAAGACTCTTGAGAGTCCCTCAGATAGCAAGGAGATCCAACCAGTCTATCCTAAAGGAAATCAGTCCTGAATATTCATTGGAAGGACTAATGCTGAAGCTGAAACTCCAATACTTTGGCCACCTGATGCAAAGAAAAACTGACTCATTTGAAAAGACCCTGATGCTGGGAAAGATTGAAGGCAGGAGGAGAAGGGGACGACAGAGGATGACACGTTTGGATGGCATCATGGACTCACTGGACATGAGTTTGAGAAAACTCCAGGAGATGGTGAAGGACAGGAAAGCCTGGCATGCTCAGTCCATGGAGTTGCACGGAGTAGGACATGACTGAGGGAATGAAGAAGAACGAGGTCCCACTGTACAGCATAGGGAATTCTGCTCAATATTATGTGGCAGCTTGGATGGGAGGGGAGTTCTGGGAGAGAATGGATTCATGTATATGTAAGGTTGAGTCCGTTTGCTGTCCACCTGAAACTATCACAGCAGTGTTAATCAGCTATACTTCAATATAAAATAAAAAGGTAAAATAAGAGTTGCAGGTTTCAACTCAAGAGGAAATGGTCTTGATTATGGGAGAGAGTGAATACAGTATTAGTAAATGAGAGGTGTTTGAATACTGGTGCAAAGTATAAGGAAACATGAGATGAAGATGACGGACAGTCAGGCAGGAAGCTTCTGGATAGCCTTGTTCTAATCATCTGATGCATGTTCTCTCATCACAGATAAACCTATTGTGAGACACCTGTCCTTATTTTCAAACCTTACTGAGGGACATTAGGTTACCTGGGTGGCATCACAGTGGAATTATGGTTGACATTTCTGCTGAGTGTTCCATCTGTATTTAGGAGGGGCAGAGGAACTGAGTGAGCCGCCAGGCTCCTGGGCAAGAGGGATCATCTCTGAAGGAGGCTCAGGCGTGTTACTTTTGAGGGAAAGGACTATTGAATGGGACGGTCACAGGCAGATCACAATCTCTGTCCTCCCTAGAGGTTCAATTTCCAAAGCTCCTCATTAGTCAAGCAATTTTATTATCACTGTGATCCCAGGACTGTGCAAATCCTTAGAGACCAAGGCTACAATTCTATAATGCTATACTATACTATATATATGATCTTATAATAAGTTATTGTATTTTATATATTATAATTACTTACAAAATATATGCTATATATTACACATACAGCATATTTTAAAGCATAGTTGTTAGTGTAAAAAACAACACAAAAATTTCAGGGTTTATCTCTCCAAGAGTCATTAAATGTTTCCTGATCATAGTCTTAACTGTGTATATTTTACACAATTGAATTGCAAAATATTCTCTGTGACAATCCTGTTTCTGATCAATTACTCTATCACAACCACCTTCTCTAATTTGTCAAAATGGCTTCAATATATATTAATAGTTTTCTTCACTTTCTATCTCTGTGTGTGCTCAGTCATGTCCAACTCTCTGTGACCTCACAGACTGCAGCCTGCCAGGCTCCTCTGCCCATGGGATTATCAAGGCAAGAATACTAGAGTGGGTTGTCATTTCCTCCTCCAGGGGATCTTCCTGACCCTGAGACTGTACCCTCATCTCCTATGTCTCCTGCATAGAGTGTGGAATCTTTATCGCTGAGCTATGGAGGAAGCCCTTTAGCTGAATAATGTGCTACAATAATTAAGACCTATTAAATTGGTACAGGTGTAAATATAAGACTTCTTGATGATAATATAGAGCCCAGAAAAAGACCAGAACATAAATGGATAGTTTATTCAGGGACACAAAAATGAATTTGGATCCTTACCTCCCATCAAGGCAAAACTAAATTCTAGAAAGAGTATTGTTTCAAATGTAAAAGCCAAAATGGTGAATCCCTCAGATTGAAGTAACCTTGGGTTTTATTAAAAAATATCTAGGGAGCACAAACCATTATGGAAAGTATTAACAAATGCACTGCATTAAAACTAAGCACTTGTGTTCATCCCATCACTCCCCAAAAGCTTAAAAAAAAAAACCAAAAGTGGTAAACACATACAAAAAGAAATTTGCAGTGCATACAACTGAAAATAATAACCTGGTGATACAAAGTCAGGTGAATCAATTAGAAAAAGATAAGCAACTCAGGAGAAACACCACAAATAGAAACTTAACAGAAAGGAAATAAGTATCTGAAAATTTTATCAATCATTTAATAATAAGATATATGTGAATTATTAAGTCATTTTTATACCCATTAGACTGTCAATATTCTTGAAAATGTATTGGTGATGATATAGATCATCAGTAGTTTCCAATGTCAATCTTAAAGGAAATCAATCCTGAATATTAATTTAAAAAGACTGTTGCTGAAGCTGAAGCTCCAATATTTTGGTCACCTGATGCAAACAGGCAACTCATTGGAAAAGATCCTGATGCTGGGAAAGACTGAAGGCAGAATGAGAAGATGGTGTGGAGATGAGATGACTGGATGGCATCACTGATACAATGAACTTGGGCAAACTCTGGGAGATGATGAGGGGCAGGGAGGCCTGTCACGCTGCAGTCCTTGGGGTCATGAAGAGTCCGACGTGACTGGGAGGCTGAACAGCACTTTTCCAGTTCAGTTCAGTTCAGTTGCTCAGTTGTGTCCGCCTCTGTCGTGTCTGACAGCTTTCCAATATATGTATACATTTGTTCAAAAGAAGACTTATTATAACCACACAAAGGAGCCTCAGTATCTCTAATACCC